GCAAGCCCCAGTCACTTGAGGCGCCGTGGCCAGGGTGCCGGGAGGCCGTTTGGGAGGTTAGGAGCTTTAAAAGGAACCATTTTTTTTGATATATTTTTTTCCACCTCAGCTTAGGACGATCCTCGGCAGATATCAGGAAGTTTGGTTGCAGACAGGCCCTGTGCGCAGTGGTAAAACACCCTGTTGCAGCTCTTGCTGAAGGACAACCGCTCGTGGAAGCATTCACAAGCCACATGCACAAACGCCGTAGAGAGTTGTTTAGCCCTACTCTGTTACTCAGTGTTACTTGTGCTTTAGTAGACATGCTGGAGGCAAGTAAATATGCATGTATGAACATCAGACAGAGCAGGCTTCAGCTGCGTGGCTCTGTGTGGGTTTCCGAGCGGTCAACACGAAGTTGGCACAAGTGTAAATAGGAGAGCCGATTATAGAGCGGGCGGAAGCCACGGTGCGCACAGAGTAGTGCGGCGCCTATGTAACGAAATATGAAGGCGTAACGCTAGAAAAGGCGCAAACTGACTCCTGGTTGTATCAATGTTCTACCTGCAGCCGAACAGCCACCGGCTGGTCACCTCACTGCCCATTGTCTTGATCGGAACGGGATCGCCGATACAGTTCTCATGATGTCTTACGACATCAGCATAAATGGCGAGTGCGAAAGTGGGCTCGAGCTAAGCGAAATCACTCTGCGGAAAAGCTACGTACATCCGAAGAACCGAATCTAACGCGGTTAGTGTCCTCGTGGCAGATGATGGCGCGTGTAGCCCCCCGTATAATTCATTTTCCCCCGCACGCTGCTACGATTCCCCGTATGGAGTGAGAATGAAAGCGCATATGGGATTAATAACAAAGGTGTGCTGGTTCTCATGAAATCTACTGGTGCTGGTACAGGGTATCCGTCTTGCACTAGGCGATTCCCTGCCTGACCTTCTGCCGATGCTAATTCCACCGATTTATGTCATTCACATTCACGAAATCTCAATTCAGAAAGCAGATATTGAGCTTATACGTCAGTCAACTACCATTGGGTCCCAGCACGGCAAACGTGTCTCCGTGACTGGACGCCCTCATGGTCTGATGGCATGCAGGGGACAG